TAGTTCAATATACGTGTTAAGGGGTTAAGCAGTGTGAAAATTTGGATATAATTGAGGTGTATTAATGGAAAACAGAAATAAATAAAGGGGATGTAAATAGCGTGCTGAAAATATCCAGCCAAGACAGGACTCGCAGCAATGGCTTCAAGTTGGAAAACTTCAGATTCAGGAAGGATATAGGAAAGCACTGGTTTGGTAATAGAGTTGTGGATGAGTGGAACAAACTCCCAAGTACCGTCATAGACGCTAAGACCTTGTGTAGTTTTAAAAATAGGTTGGATAAATACATGAGTGGGTGTGGGTGGGTGTGAGTTGGACGTGACTAGCTTGGGCCAACAGGTCTGGTGCCGTGTTCCTTCCTTAAGTGGAAGTGACTTGACTAGGTGGTCATTGTTCTAGGCCGGGGGGTGGAATGGACCTGCTTCTTATGGGTCAGTAGGCCTGTTGCAGTGCTATTCTTTCTTCTTATATTCAGCATGGATATATTTGAATTATACAATAATTATGTAATAAAATGTGATGTTGATTTGACCCTTTCGAGAAATTTCAAGGGGGGCGGGGGATAGAACAGCGAGTAGGGACACCGGGGAGATGCCATATTGAATTTAATTTGTACTAATAGCTATATTTTTGTGTATCCAGCAAGCCTAATCTCATACAGTTCATTAAACTTCATTGTACAGGCTGGTACATAGCTGGTTTTAATTTTATATTCATTAAATCGTTAATTTAATGTCAGGTCTAGCTTTTAGTGAATGTAGTGAGGAAGTGGGCAGTCAAAGGAGTTGCAGTTCAGCGACCTACTGTGACTAAGTCCCACTTACCTCAACCAAATTACTTGCAGGTATAATTCAGGTAATGCCCTGTAAGCCTCCTGCAGATAATTTGCTAATATTAATAATTTTTCACAAATTAAGCCTTTGATCCTAACGAACTCAAATATGTAATCAGTGAGAATTTGGTTTAATTTAATGATTTGTTTGAAAGAAATGGATTGCTGGGTTCACATACTACTGGAAATAAATTAATTAATGGCGGTTGTGTATTGGATTATGGTTGCCACAATTAATTAATTTGCTAAGCCCAGTTAGGCTAGGATTGTAATTGCTATAATTGTTAATTTGCTAAGCTATTACAATAATAATTATTTTGCTAATCCAGGAAATATTTGGCTAGGATATTTAGTACATATAATAATTATAATTAATTTACTATTCCAGCAAATATTTGGCTAAATGTTTGGTGCATATTATAATAATTATAATTAACTTGCTAAGCCAGGAAATATTTGGCTAGGATATTTGGTGCATATTGTAAGAATTATACGAGTGTCTATCTGTATAATTTGTACAACCAGTATTCATTAATTGAGTTTAATACTTAGATGGGTCTTGAATGAAGGTAACGAAATTAATGCAGATGGTAAATCCATGGGAATTAATGCTATAAAGTCGTCATTAATGCAAAAAAGGGTCATGTGACCAGAGCTTGTAATAAATGCCTGGAACTGGTTGCAGAAGAAATTGTGAATAAGGTTAATTTAGAATTATATTTGGGATCATTAGAAAATAGGGAAATATTACATGAATTGTGCAGATGATAATGAGAGGGAATTATTCATTATTCAGTATTATGAATTGGAATAAAAAATACTATCATGTAAAAGTGAGGTATTAAATAAATTAAAATGTGTAAATACTGCAAATGGACAGTCTAGTAGTATAAATGCTAGGACTTTGCCAAAACTCCCAGACTTAGGTCTACCAACATTTAGTTCAGGAGACAGCTGGAGGAATAGTTGTCAGTATATAAGGCTGCTGTACATGTGAGGAATGACCTAGTAGATGTAACAAAATTATTTTATCTCAAAGAGTAGGTCAGAAGCGATGCATATGCCCTGATTCAAGGGTTCCAAAATGTTGACTCTAGTAATCTGGAGGCAGTTAACTTTAGAGGTGACCTAAGGTAATAGGGAGCAAAGTAGGTTAGACCTAGTAAATACTGTGATTAATTTAAGAACTTTAGAACCAATTTGCAAAAATTTAGGGTCAAATTAGAAAGCACTCTAAAGTCCTTGAGTAATAGGTTTGATTTGGGGGAATCAGACTAGATATTAAGTGCTATCTTACAAAATAAATTGACCAGCAAAACTATAGAGTGATTATCTAATACATACCATGAGGGTTATTTTGCTCTGGAGGAAATAAGATTAGGTCTACAAGAATTCTAAGAATGTAATGCACGATGACTGGAAAAAATATCCTAATGTTAATAATTATTATAATTCATCCCATAAAAACTGTTGCATAGGCACATATCAAGTGCAGGAACCAAAAAAAATCTTGTCCACATCAAATTAAGAGGAATATGTACCTAAATAAGAGTAGCCTAGTTAATAATGGACAAGTCAAGCAAAAGAAGGATTGTCTTTTTTGCAAGGGTATTCATTTCTCCAAGAATTGTAATGCTTATGATTCATGGGATGTTAGTATGGAAAGATCAGAAGAACTTGACAGATGTATCAGATTTTTAAGCGGTCATAATGTAAAGGACTGTTATGCCAAACTGAATAATTGCCATCCATGCCACAAAGGAAGGCATCATGTTGTAATGTGTAAGGGTTTGTACAATAATAATTTTTATGATAATGACTATAATGATAATGATGTTAACACTGAAACATTAGTTACTAATGTAAATATTGCAGCTAATGTTAATGATAATGGCATAACCGAGGTAGCCTTACCTGTGGCGAATGTAAAAATTCGGGATATAAGGTGTAAATATAAAAAAAATGTAACTACATTATTGAACCAGGGATCTCAATGCGCATTCATAAGACGTAAATTAACCAAGAGAGTCTTGCTTGCTGAAGTTTCCAAATGCTTCGAGCCTCTAGGCTTGGTGTCACCCCTTACAATAAGATGGAAATTGTTAAGGACCCCTTCCAAAGTCTCATAGAACCCTTTGTGGTCGATATTAACCACATTAGAGAACATTCTCAGGTTGTTGGGGGAGGGAGGGAGGTGAGCGGAATCTTGATCTAGAATGTGGAGTTAGGTTGCTCCATGAATATAAATGCTCTTGATCCAGGAGCTAGATCATGCCTGGAAAGTTATCAGCTTTAAAACACCCTTTTCCTCGTTCAGGAAAGATGTCCTAACGGAAAAACGCCTACATAGAAAATGTGATCATAGCAGAAAGACGCCCCCTTGATAAAGGTGATCATAGCCTATAAAGTTTACCCCCTACCCCTGAGAAAAAGTGATCATTTAGCCCCCCCCCCCATTACCGCAGTAGTAGTAGTTGTAGTAGTAATAGTAATAGCAGTAGTGCTAGTTGTGGTGGTAGTAGTGCATAAGAACAAGAGATCAGTGCAGCACTGAAAGAGAACTAACGGCCCACAGGCAAAGGACAAAAAAAAAAAAAAAACTGAGAGACAAAACTCCATAGGACAGAACCCTCTAAGGCAGAAGGCAAGAAAAGCAATGGAAATACAAGAAAGGTAAAGAGGTAAATAGAAAAGATGTCAAAGGTCAGGTCAAGTCACGAGTGGTGTTGAGTTTAAAGCGCTTGACTATGTAATGAGAAAGGCAGGCATCCACAAGACATAGTCAGGACTAAGATTCATGCTAGAAATTAATAATAATTATAAATAATAATAATAATAATAATAATTTTATTTACTACATATGCAAGGTATACAGGCCTAACTGACCTTAATGACATACTGCTATACAGAAAGTCGTTTGGAAATAAGTCACTCTGTCTGACTTTTTTGGGCTATCCTAAGTTCTTTACACATATGCTGCTATGTATGATAATCTGTGTAACTGTATTTGTGTATACCTGAATAAACTTACTATACAGAGCATTTCGGGCAAATTAGGTCAGTTTTGTCCCAGGATGCGACTCGCACCATTCGACTAACACCCAGGTACCCATTTTACTGAAGGGTGAACATAGATAACCGGTGTAAGGAAACACGTCCGATATTTCCACCCCTTCGCCGGGAATCGAACCCGGACACTCACCGTGTGAAGCGAGAGCTTCTGCCACCAGTCTACGGGGCACCGTAAGAACCGTAAGAAAGACAACCAGTTAACAGGGTGACTGTGATCTCTAACATGACAGAAAAGAGCATGGCTCGTGTCAGTAAGGCGAATGTACAATGGTACGTGCATTGACTAGAAACCATGGTACGGGTGGGGATTGAACTCCAGACCGACGCACTATCCTCTGGGCAAGCTGGTTACAATAAGATTCATCCAACTAGGTATATTTATACACGATAGGAAGGTTAGCATAGGCACCACTGTGACCACAAATGCAACTTACAGACGAATCTCCCGCCCTCATGGCCGTGACGAACTCTGGCTCACGTCCCCTCAAAGCCGTCATCATGACTCAAGAAATCGTAATGACACGACTGCAAACAAACCACGGTACGGGCGGGGATTGAACTCGTGGTTTGTTTGCAATCATGTCATTACGATTTCTTCTTTGTGTCAAACGTGACTCTACAATCTTTTGCGTCATCAGTCAATGCATTAAATACTCAATGACGACAATAACCTCCTCGGGGAAACAAAGTAGAGATAAGTAAAAATGAAAATGGAAGAAACTTATGCATTGTCTTAATTTTTTTTCTCATTGCATTATTTTACAGAAGGCTGATGAAAAAGCGAATTAAAGAAATTAGAAAATAGACGAGTAAGCTTGGTATATATATTTCAATCGTCAGACATATTTTATTATTGGAACTGAATTATACAGTATATTTAATTGCCACAGTAAACTAAACGTTCTGCGAAAAAAAAATAATCAGATACAACAGGTAAAAAGAAAATACATTGTAAAACGCATTTACAACTGCTTCCCCCAAACATTGATGAGGTATGCGATTAGACTCGGCGGAATTTTACACTTTTGGACAAGAATACTCATTAATGACCTGCTACAAAAAGAGAATAAGAGAAAATTGAGTTGTTCTCGCTCACCGGCCTCCACCACATAGGGTGTGACAGCGATGTACTTAGACCTCTGCTTGTGTGGGTGGAACCTCTGACGGCGTCTGGTCTTCCTCAGAGTCACCAGCGGAGGGAGGGAGGCGCTGAAAGAGATGGACTAAGTTACACACAGGTAATGCTGAATACACACAAAGATATACTCACTCCTAGCAAATTCAAACTGGTATTTACTCACGTTAGTGCTGCAACCAACCAATGTAATGTGGAAATGTGTGCAAACACACAGAAGAAACAATCTTTGAGAAGGCAATAGTAAACAAGAGAAAGATGGAATTACATTTTTATTCAGTTATGTATAATGTAAACTATATGAAAAAGACGAAATACAGAGAATTATCAAGAAAAAATGCAGAACGAAATCTGATAAAATATGTGAAACATAAATTACGAGTTTTGTTTGCAGAAGAAAACATTTTAAAACACTGGTTTTAAACCCAAAACAGCCAATGGAAATGGAAAATACTGAAATGTTGAAAAAACTAAAGAGGCTACTAATAGACGATAAAAAACATCGGTCAACATTGAATTTTGTTACTCGGCCATTTACTTTATTTCTCATCACACTACGTGATATCCAAACCCAGGTAAATTATAGTTATTTTGGTGAATAATGCACGTCCATCCAGGTCAGTCAGTGGCTAGTATTCAATCAGAGCTTCTCAGTAATATACTCAGTTAAAAATATGTTTGTTATTATAGTTATGTGTGGTTTGTGTTAGATGAAGCTACGTTAGGTTATGCTAGGGTGCGTTAGCTTAGATTTGGATAGGTTAGGTTTCTGTCGGGTTCTGACCAGACGCAATCAAACTCAGTGAGATCTATGCCACCCCACCCAACTCCCCACTTAACCAAACCGACATAAAGATATTATTTTTGAACTGAAATGCCGTGACTGAAAACTAGCAAGTGACTGGTCAAGCGTGCCTTTCATGGCATACAAACTTAGTCTCATGAAAGTATTATGTGGTTAATATCTCCCAACACGACAGCGTTGTCCAAACCACTAACTTAAGTTTATAGCAAGTCAATGGACATGGAACAGCTGCCAGAGATCTGGAAAACAGCAGATGTGCGTATATCTAAAAAAGATCGGAAGAGTTGACCTACAGAACAGCTTCATTGGCATGCAGACTATGCAAAGTAATAAAGAAAAGAATCAAAAGCATAATAGTGAGAGAAATGGCTTCATGAATAACAAATTAACTCGGGTTAAGAGATGGCAAATAGTGTCTTACCAACCTGTTGGAATTCTTTAAGTAATGAAAGTGAGACAGGAGAGAGAGAGAGAGAGAGAGAGAGAGAGAGAGAGAGAAGAGAGAGAGAGAGAGAGAGAGAGAGAGAGAGAGAGAGAGAGAGAGAGAGAGATGGATTGACTGCATTTCTCGTAGACTGCAAGAAAGCGTTTAGTAATGTACCACACGAGACTGAAGCGAAAACCTGAGGGCTAGGCAGGAATAACAGGAAGCATTCTCTGCTGAGTCAAAGAGTGCCTTAGAGGAGAGAAGCAAACAATGTTAGGAAAGAGATGTCAGAATGGGAAAGAGTAACAAACGGATTCCGCATGGATCGGTTTTATTTCTAGTAATGTTTTTGATTTATTGGAATGATAAACCAGATGGAAGACATCTTCCCTCTTTCCTGATAATATAAGCTAATAAGTAGAATAAAACTGAGGAAGAGAGAGAGAAAGGCACCAAACAGACTGGTGAAAACGCGGGACTGGTCAGATTTGTGGTTCCTTGAATTCAACCCCAGCAAATGCAAGGGCGAATGATGGAGCTTAAAGACCAGACATGAAGTAGACTTGGGATAATTCGAGATGAGCATAGAACCTAGCATATTACCAGAGGTTTACAATCACTTCAGCCAATGATCCTGTGACAAATCGTAGATCCTTCAGGAACCTCATCAAAGGGTCATTCCGAACCTTTATATAACATATGTAAAAACCTTCTTGGGGTATACAAGCACTGCACTCAACCTCATTTGAGAAAAACACTAAGAAGCTAAACAAAAGTGCATAGGCATGTACCGAGGAGTTTACAATATATATATATATATATATATATATATATATATATATATATATATATATATATATATATATATATATATATAGGGAGGGTGTGTAAAGGTAGAAAGTTGAAGGTGAACATAGATAAGAGTAAGATGATGAGAGTATCAAATGATTTAGATAAAGATAAATTGGATATCACATTGGAGAGGAGTATGGAAGAAGTGAATGTATTTGGGAGTTGTCTTGTCAGCGAATGGGTTTATGAAGGATGAGGTCAACCATAGAACTGATGAAGTTAAAAGGGGCGAATGGTGCTGTGGAAAATTACATTTACCTGAATGTAACTCATAAGATACATACCAGTAAATGGTAACAAAGATAATTATTCTTTATCAAGGTTACAGAGACAAGTAGGAATTTTAGGACACTTAGGTCGCAAAAATGTCCTCTTTCGATACCTACGATAATCTCTCTCTCCACAAGTCACTCTGGACCTATATTAATTTCAAATGAAATATACATCACCAGAAATTCTGGTAAAAACATTAATATAAATATGTGGACTGCATATTAAATTTAAAATGTGAATACATATGCACCAATTTGTCTGGAGATTATTTGGTGTATCATACACAAACCCCTGCCTAAATTATGAAGAAAACACTGGCCAGAATCTCAACATAAATAGACAACTTAGCTGGGGTTCCAAAGCTGTCCTGTCCATCTGCTTAATGCTCACGTTATGCAGGACTGCAAATCCAACAATTTCGGCTCCTATTTGAGAGGTTTAAGCCCAATATAACCCCTAGAGTGACGAAACTTTATGCACATTTCACTAACGTGCCTGTAACACATTCAAAACAATGGCGTCTTTCCCCCCAGCGACGCTCACCCATCACTGATTCTTTATTTATTTACAAATTAATTTTTATTACCTACAATATATTACACTAATTTACAAAAATACACTGTATTTTTAGAAAATATATCCAGTATTTTCCACAGGTGCGTACAGGTATCTGTGGAGAACAAAAATGCAATCCATGGAGGGAATGAAGGGAATGTACGAAAGTATAGTGGTACAAACACTCTTATATAAGTGTGAAATTTGGGTTGTAAATGCTTTAGCGAGGAGGCCGCTGTAGGCAGTGGAGATGTCCTGTCTAAGGGCAATTTGTGGTGTAAATATTATGAAGAGAATTCGGAGTGTGGAAATTAGGAGGAGGTGGGGAGTTACTAAAAGTATTAGAGGGCTGAAGAGGGGTTATTGAGGTGGTTTGGTCATTTAGAGAGAATGGATCAAAGTAGAATGACTTGGAGAGTGTATAAATCTGTAGGGGAAGGAAGGCCGGGTGGGGGTCGTCCTCGGAATGGTTGGATGGAGGGGGTGAAGGAGGATTTGTGGGCGAGGGGCTTGGACTTCCAGCAAGCATGTGTGAGCGTGTTAGGAGTGAATGGAGACGAATGGTTTTTGGGACTATGACGAGCTGTTGGAGTATGAAGAGTGTAATATTTAGTGAAGGGATTTGGGGAAACCAGTTAGCCGGACCTGAGTCCTGCGAATGGGAAGTACAATGCCTACACTTTAAAGGAAGAGTTTGGGATATTGACAGTTTGAAGGGACTTCTAAACTGTCGTATCTGAGCACCTCTGCAAAGACAGTGACTATGTGTAAGTGAGGCGAAAGTGTTGAATGATGAAAGTATTTTCTTTTTGGGGATTTTCTTTCTTTCTGGGTCACCCTGCCTCTTTGGGAAACGGCACACACACACACACACACACACACACACACCACACACACACACACACACACACACACACACACACACACACACACACACACACACACACACACACACACACACACATTATATATATATATATATATATATATATATATATATATATATATATATATATGTCGTGCCGAATAGGCAGAACTTGCGATCTTGGCTTAGATAGCAACGCTCATCTTGCCATATAGGTCAAGTGAAAATTTGAGTATGCAATAATTTCACCAAAATCATTCTGAACCTAACGAAAAAAATATATTTCACTGTGTTTGTTTAGTATTAAATTATTGTAAAGAAATCGAAAATATACATAGTTTGGTTAGGCTAAAATTAATTGTTCTTTTTATAATAAGGTTAGGTAAGTTTTCTAAGATTCTTTTGGTTCAAAATTATAAATTTTTACATCAACATTAATGAAAAAAATATATCTTTAAATGTATAAGAGAAAATTTCAGAAAGGACTTAATTTTAAATGAGTTCTTGCTAATTGACCAGTTTTACATATTCGGCACGACATATATATATATATATAAAGAAGTCGACAGTCTCCTACCGACTTTGGGTGACCCAAAAAGAAAGAAAATCCCCAAAAAGAAAATACTTTCATCATCATTCAACACTTTCACCTCACTCATACGTAATCACTGTTTTTGCAGAGGTGCTCAAAATACAACAGTTTAGAACCATATACGTATAAAGATACACAACATATCCCTCCAAACTGCCAATATCCCAAACCCCTCCTTTAAAGGGCAGGCATTGTACTTCCCATTTCCAGTACTCATGTCCGACTATATAAAAATAACCGGTTTCCCTGAATCCCTTCACTAAATATTACCCTGCTCACACTCCAACAGTTCGTCAGGTCCCAAATACCATTCATTTCCATTCACTTCTATCTAACGCTCACGCACGCCTGCTGGAAGTCCAAGCCACTCGCCCACAAAACTTTCTTTAAATCTTCCCTTCAACCTTTTCGAGGACGACCCCTACCCTGCCTTCTTTCCCCTACAAATTTATGCACTCTCCATGTTATTCTACATTGATCTATTCTCTCTAAATGACCAAACCATCTCAACAACCCCTCTTCATCCCTATGACTAATACTTTTAACTCCACACCTCCTAATTTCCACACTCCGAATTTTCTGCATAATATTTACACCACACGTTGCCCTTAAACAGGACATCTCCATTGCCTCCAACCGCCTCCTCGCTGCAGCATTTACAACCTAAGCTTCATACACATATAAGAGTGTTGGTACCACTATACTTTCATACATTCCCTTCTTTGCCTCCATAGGTAACGTTTTTTGTCTCCACATATACCTCAAAGCACCACTCACCTTTTTTACTTCATCAGTTCTGTGGCTAACCTCATCCTTCATAAATCCATCCGCTGACACGTTAACTCCCAAATATCCGAAAACATTCACTTCTTCCATACTTCTTCTCTCCAAATTGATATCCAGTTTTTCTTTATCTAAATTATTTGATACCCTCATCACCTTACTCTTTCCGAAGTTCACTTTCAACTTTCTACCTTTACACACACTCCCAAACTCGTCCACTAACCTTTGCAATTTTTCTTTACACTCTCCCATAAGCACAGTATCGTCAGCAAAAAGTAACTGTGTCAATTCCCATTTTGTATTTTATTCCCCATAATTTAATGCCACCCCTCTCCCGAACACCCATTTACTTCTTTTACAACCCCATCTATAAATATATTAACCAGGGTGACATTACACATCCCTGTCTAAGACCTACTTTTACCGGGAAGTAGTCTCTCTTCTACACATCCTAACCTGAGCCTCACTATCCTCATAAAAACTCTTTACAACATTTAGTAACTTACTACCTATTCCATATACTTGCAACATCTGCCACATTGCTCCCCAAACCACTCTATCATATGCCTTTTCTAAATCCATAAATGCAATGAAGACTTCCCTACCTTTATCTAAATACTGTTCACATACATGTTTCAATGTAAACACTTGATCTACACATCCCCTATCCACTCTAAAACCTCCCTGCTCATCCGCAATCCTACATTCTGTCTTACCTCTAATTCTTTCAATAATAACCCTACCGTACACTTTTCCTGGTATACTCAGAAAACTAATTCCTCTATATTTTTTACAGTCTCTTTTGTCCCCCTTCTCTTTATACAAAGGAACTATACACGCTCTCCGCAAATCTCTAGGTACCTTCCCCTCTTTCATACATTTATTACACAAAAATACCAACCACTCTAACACTATATCCCCCCCTGCTTTTAATATTTCTGTCATGATCCCGTCAGTTCCAGATGCTTTACCCCCTTTCATTCTATGTAATGCCTCACACACCTCCCCCACACTCACATCCTGCTCTTTTTCACTTCTAAAAGATGGTATACCTCCCTGGCCAGTGCGTGAAATTACCGCCTCCCTTTCTTCGTCGACATTTAAAAGTTCTTCAAAATATTCCCGCTATCTACCCAATGCCTTCATCTCCCCATCTACTAACTCCCTCATTCTGTTTTTAACTGACAAATCCATTCTTTCCCTAGGCTTTCTTAACTTGTTTAACTCTAAATTTTTTCTTCTTTTCTTCAAAATTTCTTGACAGTGCCTCTCCCACTCAATCATCTGCTCTCCTCTTGCACTCTCTCACCACTCTCTTCACCTTTCTTTTACTCTAAATATATTCTGTTCTTATAGCACTTCTGCTTTATAAAAACCTCTCATAAGCTACCTTTTTCTCTTTTGTCACACCCTTTACTTCATCATTCCACCAGTCACTCCTCTTTCCTCCTGCACCCAGCCTCTTATAGCCACAAACTTCTGCCCACATTCTAATACCCTCTTCAACCTCCTCACTACTCATACTTGCACTAGCCCACATTTCTGCCAATAGTTGCTTATATCTCACCAGAACTTCCTCCTTCCCTAGTTGCCATTTTCCTCTTGTCCCATCTACCTCTTACTCTAACTGTAGCTACAACTAAATAATGATCCAATATATCAGTTGCCCCTTTATAAACATATACATCCTGGAGCCTCCCAACAACCTTTTATCCACCAATACATAATCTAACAAACTACTTTCATTACGTGTTATGTATATTTATTTATCCTCTTTTTCATAAAATATGTATTATTTATTACGAAACCTCTTTCTACACATAGCTCAATTAAAGGCTCCCCATTTACATTTACCCCTGGCATCCCAAATTTACCTACTACTCCCTCCACAACATTTTTACCCATTTTAGCATTGAAATCCCCAACCACAAGTACTCTCACACTTGGTTCAAAACTCCCCATGCATTCACTCAACATTTCCCAAAATCTCTCTCCTCCACACTTCTCTCTTCTCCAGGTGCATAAACGCTTACTATAACCCACTTTTCACATCCAACCTTTATTTTACTCCACATAATCCTTGAATTAATACATTTACAATCCCTCTTCTCCTGCCATAGCTTATCCCTCAGCATTATTGCTACTCCTTCTTTAGCTCTAACTCTATTCGAAACCCCTGACCTAATCCCATTTATTTCTCCCCACTGAAACTCACCCACCCCCTTTAGCTTTGTTTCACTTAAAGCCAGGACATCCAGCTTCTTCTCATACATAACATCCACAATCATCTCTTTCTTATTATTCGCACAACATCCACAAACATTCAGACTTCCCACCTTGACAATTTTCTTCTTCTTTTTAGTAGGTTAGGAAAAATGGTTACTAGCCCATTGCTCCCGGCATTTTAGTTGACGGAGGAAAGATTCTTATTCCACTTCCCCATGGATATAAAAGGAAAAGTAATAAGAACAAGAACTATTAAGATAAAATCAAAGAAAACTCAGATGAGTGTATATAAATGTGTACATGTATGTGTAGTGTGACCTAAGTGTAAGTAGAAGTAGCAAGACGTACCTGTAATCTTGCATGTTTATGAAACAGACAAAAGACACCAGCAATCCTACCATCATGTAAAACAATTACAGGCTTCCGTTTTACACTGACTTGGCAGGACGGTAGTACCT